AGGATAGAGTGCCCCACCCTGTGAGCATGGCCCACGTTCTTTTTTCCGAGATGGTATTACATTGACATTGAACCGTATTAAAACACATGTGTGTTAGGATATAGATATTCAGGCCTGTCTGCAAAGGCCTGTACTTTAAGAATTTAGGTGTATTCTTATCACTTAGCTAGTTATAGAGGTATAAAAGAAAGAATCAAAATCACTTTCTGTATGTGTAAGGGCCTTATCTTACTGTGACAGTCTGAGGCCTGGTTCTTAGGCTAAGGCCTTCGGCTAAGCAGCAGAGGCCAGCCATAAACTGGGAAGTGAAGGGTCACATCCTCACATTCCAAACTAGTCACATGGAAATAAGGTGCTATTGGGCTGTTAGGAATACAATCCTGTCCTGATATTCCTATCACCTCCAGAGAAAGAAAAAAGCCTAAAAAATATAAAAGGAAACTTAGGTTAATAGTTTTCTGTCTGGTAAGAACTCACTGATCAATAGACACAGCTGGAAAACGCTTATGTCTGTATAGATGCAGTTGTGAAATCCTCACTTCTGTATTGTTCTGTATGTTTATTTGCATGGTCTCTGTCGGGTTCTGTGATCGTTTCTGTCTCCTGTATAATTAATTTTGCTGGGTGTAAACTAATTAGGGTGGTGGGATATAATTGGTTAGCTAATCATGTTAGGATTGGTTAGGTAAATTTTAGTAGAATGATTGGTTAAGGTATAGCTAAAAATATTACTATATAAACTAGGGGCAAACAGGAAGTAAGTTGGGATTCAAAAATAAGGAAAAAGGAACTTGGATTTAAGCTTGCTGGAAGTTCACCCCAATAAACATCAAATTGTTTGCACCTTCGGACTTCGGGTATTGTTGCTCTCTGTTCATGCGAGAAGGACCAGGGAAGTGTGAGAGTGAAGGAATAAGCTCTCTAACAATGTGGTCTACTTGCATCTAGTTGACCAAGTGATCCAGATCGCTCTGGGTCAGTGACCCGTCCCTTTCATTATTTCCCACTCCCCTAATAGTTGTGTCGTCGGCAAACTTTATCTGTTTATGTTTCCTTCCAGGTCTTTAATAAAAACATTAAATAGCGTAGGGCCATGAACCGATCCCGTCCGGACCACATTCTAGGCCCAGCTCTACTCTGCTCAGCATCACAACACCCTGACTTTCCTGGAATAACTATGGCATTCATAGAACCTGACTTAAGCATGATGAATGGGGAGAGAGAGGTGCCCAAGAAGGAGATCCATGCTCCAAGGGGAGCCGCCTAAGCTAGCCAATGGGAGGTGCTGATGAGAGGGGTGTGTCCTCAGTCCCTCCCCTCTGATAGAGACAAGGCCCTATCTCTGCTTGCAAGCCACTGGATGTAACCCCTCTCCTGCAGACACCTGGCTTAGGCTTGTGAGATTGTGTTAGACACCTGTCTCTCTCCACACATAATGGCCTGCGGAGGAGGAGGTGGTGCGACCCACCTATTAGCTCAGTGATAAGAGCACTTATCTGGGATGTGGGAGACCCTGGTTGGATTCCCTGCTCTGCCTGAGGGAGAGAGAGAGGATTTGAACTGGGTTCTCCCACAGGAGAGTGATCACCAACCTATGGGATATCCTGATATGGGACTTCTTTAGTCTCTCCTGTTGAAGCTGTTCTGCTGCATATGAGTAATGAAAGAGGCTTTGGAGCAGGGGGACTGGGTCTCGCAGGTCCCTGACCCATAGGCGCCAACTCCGTGGGTGCTAAGCACCCACCGGCAGCCAAGCTCCCCCCCACAACCACCTGCCGACAGCCCCGCTGGTCAACTCCTCCCAAAGCCTCCCATCCGCCGCGGATGAGCTGTTCTGGGGCATGCAGGAGGCGCAGGGAGAGGGTGTTCTCAGGGAAGGGGGCGGAACTAGGTGGGACAGGGACAGGGGTGGGGCCTGGGGAAAGGGTAGAGTGGGGGCGGGGTCTTGAGGGAAGGGGTGGAGTGGGGGCAGGGCTTGGGCGGGGGGGGAGGGGGCATTGGGCCATTCCCACAGGTAGAGAGGAAGTCGGCGCCTATACCCTGACCAACCGGTTATGGATCATTCCCTCTCACTCTATCCATTCGTGTTTTAGGAAAGGTACTAAAACCCTCGCAACAAGACAACAACCCACAGCACAACTCGCAGCAACACGACAGTAACGGGATGAGACAATCTGTCCCCAGAGCGGGGAAGTAGATGAGTGTAAAACTCAGTTTGCTCATGAACGGAGCAGTGTAACTGATATGCTCAAGTTTGGCTGTTCCTGGGTCCTCACCCCAGACACAGGCAGCTGGATACTTGGGGGCCAAACGCCCCTGATGTGTGTGGGAAACAGGAAATGTCTCGTCTCTTTACTGTGCCCTGATAGAATTTCTCTCCTGCGTGCAGGAGTCTCTGATGTCCAGTATTGTAGTATTTTACATGCTAATGAGATCTAAGAGGTCTCTTCCCCGTGTGGATTTGCTGATGCCTCCGACAATCTGTGCCCCAAAAGATCCTTCCCCCACATTCAAGGTTTTTGTCCCCTGTGGAGTCTCTGATGTCGAGTATGGGTGGAGCTCTGACTGAAGCTTTTCCCACAGACCTGGCACGTATAGGGTTTTTCTCCTGTGTGGATTCTCCTATGTTTAATGAGGGTCGAGCTGTCGCTAAACCTTTTCCCACAGTCCGAGCACTTATAGGGTCTTTCTCCCGTGTGGGTTCTCTGATGTGAAAAAAGATCTGAGGTCTGACAGAATCTTTTCCCACAATCAAGGCATTTAAAAGGTCGTTCGCCTGTGTGGATTCTCTGATGCGTAATAAGGTTTGAGCTCCGACTGAAACTTTTCCCACAGTCCACACATTGATAAGGATTGTGTCCCGGGTGACTTCTCTGGTGTATAACCAGGTGTGAGCGCCAGTCGAAACTTTTCCCACAGTCCAGGCATTTATAGGGTCTCTCTCCCGTGTGGATTCTCTGATGCGTAATAAGATCTGAGCTCTGGTTGAAACTTTTCCCACACTCTGGGCATTGACAGGATTTATCTCCCGTGTGGCTTCTCTGATGGGAAATAAGATCCGAGCTCTGAATGAAGCTTTTCCCGCACTCAACGCATTTATAGGGTTTCTCTCCCGTGTGCGTTCTCTCATGTCTGTTGAGTTGTGAGCTCTGAATGAAGCTTTTCTCATAGATGAGGCATTTATAGGGCTTCTCTCCTGTGTGGATTCTTCTGTGTGAAATAAGGTTTGAGCTCTGATTGAAGCTTTTCCCACAGACCAGGCATTTATAGGGTTTCTCGCCCGTGTGGATTCTTCTATGGGAAATAAGATGAGAGCGCCGACTGAAGCTTTTCCCACACTCGGCGCACATGTTTTTTTCTCTTTCCCGTGTTGCTTCTCCGCTGGGCTGTTGTTTCGCTGAGTTCCTTGCGTCCTCTGCCACATGAAACCTACCCACTTCTTTCTCTGGCTGGTTTCCCAGCTGTCTCTCTGACTGGCACTGATTTCCACAGGCTTTCTCACACTCACAGCTCTGGTCAAAGTTCCCTTTGGATCTTCCCAGTAACGTCCCTTGCGCTTCCCCTTGCTCAGGACCTTCCTGCCGTGAATTCTCCTCCTTGTTTTCACTCCCCACCCCATCGGCTGCTGGAATAAAGAGAGAGAATCCAGACAGGCATCGTCCCCTGTGCTGGGGAGAAGGCAGAGACGGGGAACAGCAAAAAGGGGAAACACGACACAGTAACTGGTGGGGAGACTGAGAAAGGGAAAATTTTACTGGCCCATCTTTAATTTTTCCTTCTCCGAAGCAGGTCCCTGGTGCTCCGTGATCCCTTACAACTGGGTTGTCCCCTCATTGGACAGGCTCCAGCAGACTGGCAGTGCGGGCCACGCCGCTCTGCTGACTCATGGAGGGAAAGCCAGGAGAAAGAGTGGGAAAAGAGTGCGAAAATGGGCAAGCGAGACCGTGAGGCTCAAACCCACCTCCGGCTATCAGGGACAGTGGCTGAATGTGCCGGGAGCAGGCGCAGCGGGAGAAGGACAGAGCCCATCCCCTCCCGCCCCCCGCAGGTAACGTGGGGCGGGGAGCGCGCGGCAGCCCTGGGCTAGACTTAGGGCAGGGGGGCGCTGGGCAGAGGAGACACGTGTGGGGAGGCACGAGTTGTCTATGGCCATCAGGCTAACAAGGGGAGAGAAGACCATTTAATGATCAGGCCGGGGGACTGAATCCGCACCCAAGGGAGACTTCCTGGTTCTTGAGATGGAGGCAATGGACTTTGGGAAATATCAGGGGAGCAAAAAGACCTTTGAGGTGACCCTCCCTTAGGGGACAGAGTGAGCTTGTGAAAAGTGGCTCCGACGCCGTGGGTGCTCCGGGGCTCAACCATCCACTGGACAAAAAAATAGTGGGTGCTCAGCACGCACCAGCCACAGCTGCTGGGCGGCTGGCGGGTGGGTGGAGAGCCGTGAGTGGCGGGAGGGTGGCCTTGGAAGAGGGTGCAGAGCGGGGGTGGGAAGAAGTAGAGTGAGCAGAACAGGGGCAGGAGGAAGTGAAGCAAGGGCTGGGGGATGCTCCGGCTCTTTGGAGGCCGAGATGGTAATAATTTCTCTGTGCGCGCCGTGAGGGGGTCTGGAGGCAGCCGGGACACGGCTCCGGGGAACTCGGGAACTGGGCTGCACCAGTTGTCACCTGAAAGCCAAGGTTTAGACTGGCAGAGCCTCAAGGAGTTTGCTGGTGAAGCGGACAGACCAGTGCAGCAAGGAGCTGCCATAGGCTTAGGGGTAACACAGCGTCTTCCCATTTGGGGTGTCCTGAGCAGAATGGCACAGGCCCGTTCCCCGGAAATCCAGTCAAACCAGAGAAGAACCTGAGCAGAAGCCAAAATGGGCACATCCCAGACCCCACAGCTTCTAATAAGCCAAGGGGACGGGAATCCTTTACCCAGCGAGGTCGCCGTCTCATAATTCTGCATGACGTCCCTGAGCAGGGTCCAGCAGAGCCCCCTGCCCCTGGGTGAAATACACAGCCACCTCCTCAAAGGTCACCGGCATCTGGAACAACAAGAGTCCCCCACTCAGCACCTGCTGCTTCAGCCACAATCCCACGAATTGGAAGAGGGGGGAGAATAAAGTGGAAGCCCTGGGGAGGGACAAAGCGGTGGAATCCCCCACATGAGCCACCCTGCTCAGAGCGGCCAGGAAATTCCAGGTGTGGGGAGAAAGAGAGAGCTCCTTGTCCCTGCCCGGGGACAGAGGAGGGCTGGGTCCTTCCCATTTATCACACACTTACTAGCCAGAGGCTGATAAGGGAGGTGGAGACCTCGAGCGGGACAGGAACCCCAACATCCTCCCCATTACCAGCAGCCAGATGTGAGGAGATGGGACATCTTCACTGGTGGTGTCCCCTTCATATTCCAGTGCAGCCTGGAACATTCAGGCTCCAGCCCCAGGAGTGGGTTGTTTCTTTCCCAGCCCTGTCCATGGGTTGGTTCCTTTTCTAGAAATGGGGAAATTTCCACCTGCTCTGAGAATCGTGCCGCAGAATGAACGCACGTCCCAACAGAGCTGGCATATCCTTTACTCTGTGTGTTTCCTACCCCCTCCCCATCTAGCACAAAGCCACCCGGCAAAGCCCCTATCTGAGGCAGCTCCACCGCAGCTGTTTCCTTTCCCTGCGCCCTGGGGGGACGTGGTGTAATAATTGGGATCTAACAGGCCTACCCCGTTTGTGAGCTCAGTGGTTGGAAATGTGGTGAAAGTTCATAACATGTTACAATCACCTATAACAATAAACACTGATCGGTAGGGCCCTGCCAAATTCACGGCCATGAAAAACACGTCACGGACCATGAAATCTGGTCTCCCTCCGTGAAATCTGGTCTTTTGTGTGCTTTTGCCTTGTACGACACAGATTTCATGGGGGAGGCCAACGCTTCTCAAATTGGGGCTCCTGACCCAAAAGGGAGTTGCAGGGGGGTTGAAAGGTTATTTGGAAGGGGGGGGCACAGTATTGCCACCCTTACCTCTGGACGGAAATACCAGGGCTGGCTCCAGGGTTTTTGCCGCCCCAAGCGGTGCAAAAAAAAAAAAAAAAAAGCCGTGATCGCGATCTGCGGCGGCAATTCGGCAGGAGGTCCTTCGCGCCGAGCGGGAGTGAGGGACCGTCTGCCGAATTGCCGCGGAATAGGTGGACGTGCCGCCCCTCTCCGGAGTGGCCGCCCCAAGCACCTGCTTGGCAAGCTGGTGCCTGGAGCCGGCCCTGGGCAATACCATACCATGCCACCCTTACTTCTGTGCTGCTGCCTTCAGAGATGGGCAGCCGGAGAGTAGTGACTGCTGACTGCAGAAGTCAGGGTGGCAATACCATACCAGGCCACCCTTACTTCTGTGCTGCTGCCTTCAGAGATGGGCAGCCGGAGAGTAGTGACTGCTGACTGCAGAAGTCAGGGTGGCAATACCATACCAGGCCACCCTTACTTCTGTGCTGCTGCTGACGGTGGCTCTGCCTTCAGAGCTGGGCTCCCAACCAGCAGCCGCCGCTCTCCAGCTGCCCGGCTCTGAAGGCAGTGTTGCCGCTAGCAGCAGTGGAGAAGTAAGGGTAGCGGTACCGCAACCCCTCCTACAATAACCTTGCGACCCCCCACACACACTTTTTGGGTCAGAACCCCTACAATTACAACACTGTGAAATTTCAGATTGAAATAGCTGAAATCATGACATTTCCCATTTTAAAAATCCTATGATTGTGAAATTGACCAAAATGGATCATGAATTTGGTAGGGCCCTACTGATAGACAAAGATTGGAAAGAGAGACAGAAAAAACGGGACTAATCCACACAGAAAGTCTACGGATATCCCCCAAGGGCTGTGTTAAGCTCTGACTGGCAAACAAAAGGAAAACGGAACTGGAAATTCATGGATCAAAATTGGTGTGTTGGAATTTAGGACTGATAAATGAAGAAAATAACCAGGGGTGGGTCTATTTGGCTGATCACTCTTTGGGGTCCTTAAAGAGAGGGACCTTGAGGAACAAAAGGGCAGGTAGGTGGAACAGATTCCTGGGAGAGTCCCTGGGGAAAAGACCAAGCAAGATCTGCGTCTCCCTAGAACTATAATCATTGGGACACCCAGAACAACAGGCCGGGGAGAATGCCTGCCCATCACCCCTGCCCCAGGGAGACCCCAGCCTGCTACACAGGAGATCCTGCTCTGTTTCCCCTTCCCTCATGCCCGACCCCAAGGGCTGAGATCTGAGGCTCCTGGGGTGGTTGGTGCAGAGTCACTTTACCAGAGTTTACCGAAATTCTCTCTCCATCACCCGCAGGCTCCAGCTCAGGGGCTGGTGTTGGCAGAGCCGGGGGCTGGTTCCAGCCACCGGAGAAAGTCCCCACCTGGGCTGGGCATAGACGGGGCTTGGATGAATCTCTCCCTGCAGCTGCTCAGTGCAGGCTCCCAGGTCACAACGGAGGCGGCAGTGGCACCTGACCCAGGAAGATAAATAGAGACAAAGCCAATGCAGTTCCACCTCTTAGCCAGAACCAGAGTCCTCTGGGTACAGCTGCTAATGAACTGTGCTCCTGTCCCCTCTCCATCCCTCCCCCTCCCCACCACCAGGACCCTGGAGGGATGTGGCCAATTTCCTTCTCTAAGCTCCTTCCCTGAACTGCAGAAACCTGCAGAGCAAACCACACACCGTCACCGAGAAACGTGTGTGTCCCCCCCTGCGGCTCAGGGCAGGCTCCCTGGGGCTAGGACCCCGTCACCCCACGGCTCTCTTCAGAGCTGGGGGGCTGGGACAATGTGCACGGGGGGGAGAGCCATTGAACCAACCTGTTAGTCTTGAATTTGTTAGTCTCTAAGGTGCCACAAGTACTCCTGTTCTTCTTTTTGCGGATACAGACTAACACGGCTGTTACTCTGAAACCTGAACCAACCTGCCAGCCCTGGATAGGATGGAAACCCCTCCAAGCCAGGGGGTGCAGTGCCCCCCCTGCACCCCTAACTCCAGCGCCTATGCTGGGGTCCCCCCCAAACTCCCATAGAAATCCCCCTTCTCAAAGGGATCTTGTGCTTTCCTGTTTTCTCTCCCCCATGGACTAAGGTGACCAGACAGCAAGTGTGAAAAATCCGGACGGGGGTGGGGGGGTAAGAGGAACCTATATAAGAAAAAGACCCCAAAATCGGGACTGTCCCTATAAAATCGGGACATCTGGTCACCCTATGGACACAGGCTGCCCCTGTCTCGGGGACGCGGAGAGACAGGAGAGCGGGGTGAAGCGGCGGCTGTGGCGCGGTGAGTTTCTCTCTAGGACCCAGAAGGGAGCTGGGGCAGGGGAGATCGCTGGCTCCTGGCAGCAGGAAGTGAATTGCACTGGCTCCGGTAAC